TAAAGAAACTTAATTATCCAGCTACCTTTGCCTTGGGATCAGTAGAAAAGGACATTCTTCTATTTGCACCCATGTAATTAGTGCAGGGTTTAAGTCATGGGCATTAGTCAGAGATTGTACCCATTCACCATTCATGTGGATCAGATTGGTCACAGGGAATTCTCAGCCCTTCTAGAGGCACCACCGGCATTTGGAGGGAGTCTAAAGCTAGACCTTGGGATTGTTCCCTTGCTCAGTTTCCACCATTCACCACTCACTATGGGGACATAGATCTCAGGCCACCTCATTCAAGATTCTCAGGCCCAGAGAAGACGTCCAGTGACTTGTCCAGGATCATATCAGTAGCAGTTGGAAGAGCCAAAATTGCCAACTAGGTCCTCTGACTTCAGCTCTTACAGAGAATCCATTGTATCACGCTGCCATGTGAAATCAAATGAAATTTACTTACTATATACACACATCTTGTGTGAACATGCACAACTTAGAATAGGATATGATAAAATTGGGATGCTTTTTACAATGGATGATTAGTTAAGCGGCATGGTGTTGGGAAAATGAAACCAAATTTGCTTCAGAAGACTAGAAACAAATCATTTTCTTTAAGCCTCAATTTCTTTTTCTGTTAAATGGAATTTTTATCTAATTTGATTCCTGGAAAACAATAATAGAATGACAGAAAGGAGAAAAAGGAAAAGAAGACAGGAGTCAGGAGCTGTGGGCACTGAATGGTTTATAATTAAGGAATTTATGATCTTGGGGGTGTCTGAGGAGGATTCAGGACTATCTGCCTATCAGGAGAGGGTGCCATTACAGAATGCAAGAGATGCACATAAGAGACGTGTTCTGTTACTGTTCTTTGGTACAGATTTATGATTTCTCTAGCAGGAGAGAGTTCTGCCATTATGTGGATAATAACACATTGTCTTAGCTTCCTGCAGTACCCAGAGTTTAAGTGACCAGACCAGGGCCACAGAGACTCTATGTTTCAGAAGGAGAATTTGAAATCAGGCCTTCCTGACTCCAAGGTTGCCTATATGTCTACTGCTCTGCCTGTGAACCCACCCTGGACTCAGATATGTGAGTTGACCTCATGTTGATTGCCAGTTTCAGATGTAGTGTAACAAATGAACAAAGAAAAAGGAGTTTTAGAATTTTGTATTTTACTCTGTATTCTTATTTTAGATCTATCTATCTATCTATCTATCTATCTATCTATCTATCTATCTATCTATATCTATCTATCCATCTATCCATCCATCATCTATCTATCATTCATTCATTTACAAGAATAATATAGGTTCCTTGGGTCATAGGACTCAGTAGGTGCATCACTAATTCCTGTTGATTAATCGATTTGTGTTTTTTGTTTGGGCAATGGGGGTTAAGTGACTTGCCCAGGGTCACACAACTAGTAAGTGTTATGTGTCTGAGGCCGGATTTGAACTCAGGGCCTTCTGAATCCAGGGCCAGTGCTCTATCCACTGTGCCACCTAGTTGCCCCCTGATTAATTGATTTGTAAAAAACATTATTGATATTTTTGTTTTTACATCACCTTCATTCCTCTTCAATTGCTTGACATGTAGTAGTGCTTTTTGAATAACTGCTGGATCTTGATAAGCAATAAAGAAAGAAAAATGAAATGGGGCACAAGTCAACTAGCCTGAAAGGATTTTCATTTTTTTTTTGGTCATTGTTGTTAAAGATGAATCAAATTTCCTTTGATTTAATGAGAAGAGATTCTTCAGGAGGAAGGGTCATGGGGGCAGCGAGGTGGTGCAGTGGATAGAGCACCAGCCTTAGAGTCAGGAGGACCTGAGTTCAAATCTGTCCTCAGATACTTGACACTTACTAACTGTGTGACCTTAACCCCATTGCCTAGCCAAAAAAAAAAAAGGAGGAAGGGTCATTAATTCTCTCTAAGTTAGCCTTGGCACCAAATCCGCTGTGGCTCCTTGAGATCAGGAATCAGCTTTGCCCATAATCAGTGTCTCCTCACAAAATCTACTACAGAGCTTTGCACAGAAAAAAAAAAAAGGAGCTCAATCCATGTTGTTGTTTGGTTTGATGTTTTCACTAACCACCTTCTGTTTAGAAAGCTATCTTTTGTGGGGAGCATGAGTCCTTGAATGGAAGGTGTTCTGAGAACATGAATATTAATTTAATGCACATTTGTGTCTCACCCGGTGCCAAATGTAAGCAGTCTGGCATCATCTGGGATACTGAGTTCAATTCAACAGGTACTTCATGAAGGTTTCCTACGGGCCCTGGGTTGTGCGAGGCCCCACGAGGGCTACGAGAGTCTGATCCAGTGCTTGCCTTCACAGAGATTTCAATCTTTTTGGGGAGAAAATAACCAATGCCTCAAACATTCAAGAGTTCATTATTGTCATGGTATGGGTGGTCTCTCCAAGTCCTCTACACTTAAGTAGACAGACTTTGTGACAGTGGCCAAAAAATTCAACCCTCTGTGTCCAGCCCAGTGATGAGTCTTTCCCCACGTAGAAAGGCACCATCTATGAATGACGGACATGCTGGGACTAGACTCAGGACCTTTCTAGGAGCTGCTAGAATTTAGGGTCACTTCTACCTCTCGGGATAAGGGATCAGAAGAGGTCTTCAGAGAAGACAACAACAGTAATTTGCTAAGAGCCATGATACAAAGATAAAAAGAATGACATGTACTTTTGTATATTTGTATATTCTATTAGCAGGAATGGGGGTGTGGGTGGATCACAAACAAAGAAAATTATAATGCAAGGGAGAGTACTCTATGATATATGAAAAGCAGCATTACATAGGAGATAAAGAGCTGGCCTTGGAGTTGGTAAAATCTGGGTTTAAGTCCCGCCTTTGACATATACTGGCTGTGTGACCTTGGGCAAGTCACTCACCCTGTCAGTGCCCTAGCAACTTGCTACGATGATGAAGTTGCTAAGCAGTTGCTAACCCAAATTAGGACATGGATTTTATCATGTAGTCCCTCCTTGGAACCTTGTTGCGCAGGGAGATGGCTTTTCTGAAACATGTCCTCACCCTATGCCCACATGATCTCATATCCATTTGCAAATCAGGGGCAGGTGACTATTCCTGTAGAATGTGCTTATCCAGATGTTTCACAGGCGGGGGCCATCTTCAAGTCTTGGCTCGATGGGAAGAGAGGCATCTGTAGCATGGCAGAAAGAGTATTGAAAAGGCTCAGGAAATCCGAAAGTTAATACCAGGTTCACTCCTAATTCTCTGGGAAAAGCCAGTTTGTTTTATGTGGTCCTCATCTTCCTTATCTGCAAAATGATCCATCACATGATCCCTGAAGTTCTCTATAATGTGGAGCACCTATGAATTTAGAAATGATTCTGCAAGTCCAACTTTCTGGGTAATGATAAAAGCTGATCTTTATATAACACTTAGAGATTCACAAAGGCCTCCCTATATTTTAATGATCAAAAGTACTTAAAGGCTTACAAAGAACTTCAGGTTTGTAACTGAGTATTTGGATGGGTCTTGGACAACTCCATGTCTTTGGTAAAGGGTCTGTTGAGTTCTCACAGGGAAGTCTGGGGTTTGCAGCACCAGAGGGAAGGTATTCCCTCTTTCCCTGAGAGAGACTGGTCTTTTGTTAGTTTTGAACACAAGGGGTGGAAGACCACCAGACTGGGAGTTTGGGAATTATCTGTCCTGGACTGAGAAAGAGTTGGGATAAAATTCCAGTCTCCAGTGGGAAGGTGTGGGGGGAGCAACTGTGTTAACTGGGGATGAGCAACTTACTTGTTTTAAGCCTACATTTTGTGAGTAGGTAGTTGTTATGCAAGTAATTTTTCTGCAAGATAAGTACCTGAATTGCCTAGTTTGGCAAATTATTCTTCTGGAGTTGGCTGACTCTGGAAGAGAGAGGGAGGCTGACAACTTTGTGTGACTCTGTCTCACTTGCATCCAATTCACACAAAAGTCAAGACATCATCCCTTGATGTTAATGGTCCTCTTTGAAAATGAAAGATGAGGGATAGCTAGGCGGTGTGTAGATAGAGCTCTGGTCTTGGAGTCAGGAGGACCTGAGTTCAAATCTGACCTCAGACACTTAACACTCACTAGCTGTGTGACCCTGCGCAAGTCACTTAACCCTGATTGCCTCACCAAAAAAAAAAAAGAAAGAAAGAAAATGAAGGACAAAAACAATTCCTCACATATGATAAATGACATGTCCCCCTAAATTTGGTAAATAACTGATAATTTGCTAATGACATTAGGAAACTAAAGCTTTGATTGGATGGTAGTTTCCTTTCATCATGAGCTTAGGTAATTGATCACTGATCAGAACTTGGATGTAATTTGTAAACATCCTTATCCAGAATCATAAAAACCCACCTGAGGCCCCAACCATCAGTCTGCCCTGGTCCTGACTAGAACAGACTTGTGTGTCTGACAGACAGAAATATAAGCATTCTGTGCTGAAAGATGGAGACTTACCAGAATGCCACCTTGGAGGGGAGACACAAGACCTGCACTTGGGCACGGAGGAAACTACGGCATGAACATCATTAGAAGGCCTGCTTATTGGTACCTTTAGAAATGAGGTTGGTGGGTTGTTCCTGGAGGCTCTGGTATTTGCATTTTTGAATAATCAGTAAAATTTGGTTGGCAGCTAGGTGGTGCAGTGGATAGAGTGCTGGGACTGAAGTCAGCAAGACTCATCTTCCTGAGTCCAAATCTAGCCTCAGACACTAATTACTGTGTGACCCTGGGCAAGTCATTTAACCCTGCTTGCCTCAGTTTCCTCATTTGTAAAATGAACTGGAAAAGGAAACGACAAACCATTGCAGTATCTTTGCCAAGAAAACCCCAAATGGGATTACAAAGTGTTGGACATTCCTGGAAAAACAAACAAACAAACAAACAAAACCAGACAAAACCCCAACTGAATAACAACAACAAAGCTTGATTACATGTAATGATGACTGTAAGTTACATTAGCATACCATCATCCTTAATAAGTGTATCAATGGTAGGTTTTTAAAAATGACTTTATTATTTAACATTAAAAAAAAAATTGATCCTGAATTTTATATCTTCTTCCTGTCCCTCCCTTACCCATTGAGAAGGCAAGCAATATGATGTCAGTTATACATATGAAGTCATGCAAAACGTATTTCCATGTTAGCCATATTGAAAAACAAAACAAGAAAAATAAAATGAAAAAAGGATAGGCATACTAATGGTGAATTGGTTTTCCCCATGCATCCTGCATCACAGAAGATGGGTTGAGTCAGGGACGGAAAGGAAGCTCACAATGGATAGGGCTCCTCCTCAAAGTAAAAATGGGTGTCCAGTTAGCTTTGCTCCACAGTGACTTCTGCTGGTCACAGCTATGACATCTCATTTGCTCATGTGATACTCAACAGCCTAGTAGGGTTTGGGACTGCAGGTGTTTTTATCTCTCATTTGAAAGATGTGAAAATTGATGCTGAGAGGTGAAAGGATTTGCCCCTGGTCAGAAAGCTCATGAGTGTCTGAGATGAGATTTGAACGTTGGTTTTTGCTAGCTGGAGTTCAGTGTTCATTTCCTTGAGCCGCGATGGTAATCCGTCATCATTGTCCAAGCACAGAGTCTATTTCTAAATTGAATTAAAGATTTTCAGAAGATCAGGGAATGTGCACACTTGGAGAGCAGGCAAAGGCATCTTATCGGGCACTGTAAATGTTAGCATAATTCATTTCTCCTGTGCTTCATGATCCATTTATCTTCAGTGAATACCTTCTAAACCCCAGTCCACAGATACCCTCCTTTTAAACCTGAAATCAGGGAAATTCGGGTCTTTGTCAGTAAAATGGTTCTTCCTGGCATCACATTCCCTGCTATCTCAGAGGACACAGAGAACTCCTTCAGCCAAGAGAAAATCAACAACCTGTCTCTGATATAAGTCAAAGAACAGGCCGAGCCACTGGGGAGAGACTTTTCAGTGTAATGTTTTAGGGAAGGCCCAGAGTGTGTCAGCACAGCGTTCATTTCTGTGTGACTCAAGTCCCTGAGAAAAAGCATTTCATAGTCCTATTGTGTAAGAAACCCATGATCCAAAGTCTCCCATTTACAGGGTCTGTCCCTTCATGGGGAACATGCCGTGGTTGGGTTCCAAGAACTGGGTATCGGTCTGCACCAAGGAACCCAAGAGCAGATACAAATGGTATCAGAGAAGTATACTGAGTCTCCATAGAATAATGAGGGTGGGGGTCGGGATGGGGAGGGAGGGAGCTGGGCAGGATTCTGCACGCAGTTTTTGCTCTGTGCCCCAACTGTTAGTCTGACTCTTCTTTCTTCTAATTCAGTCTCTTTTTAAGTTGAGGCCATTTAAACACTGGCCACAGATAGAGCAACCTAAATAGGGTTTGACTCATAGGTCTGACTTTGCTTTCAATGTCTTGTTGACATAAAAACTCAATAATAATAATAACGAACATTTATTTAGCATTTATGATGTGCCTAGGCACTATGCTAAGTGTTTTATAGCCTCAGTTGATTTTCACAACAATGTTGTGTGGTAGGTGTTATTGTGATCTCCATTTTACAGATGAGGAAACTGAGGCAAATGAAGATTAAGGGACTTGCCCAGGGTGACACAGTTAGTGAGTGTCTGAGGCTGGATTTGAGCTCAGGGCTTTGTGACTCCATGCCCAGCTCTGCTCTAACCACTGCTCCTCCCAGCTCCCTATACTATACTCTGCCTTCCACTGCTTCATAGCATCTTAGGGATTAGAAGTGGAAGGGACCTTGGACATGGTCTTGTCCAGCCTTTTGAAGACCACAAGAGCACAGATTTAGAGCTGAAAGGGATGCTAGAAATCAACCAATGAGCATTTTTGAAGCATTGTGCTAGGCAGGGGGATGGATACAAAGACAAACTTGGTCCCTGCCCTCAAGAAGTTTGGGAAAGGGAGAAATAATATGTGTTGGAAAAAGAATATACGGCAGCTAGGTGGCGCCATGGTACATAGAGTGCCAGGCCTGGAGTCAGGAAGGCTCGTCTTCATGAGTTCAAATCCAGCTTCAGACACTTACTAGCTTATGACCCTACTTAAACCTGTTTGCTTCAGTTTCCTCATCTGTAAAATGAACTAGAGAGGGAAATGGCAAAGCACTCCAGTATCTTTGACAAGAAAACCCCAAATGGGGTCACAGAGAGTCAAACATGCCTGAAAAACCACCACAACAAAGCATGTATATGATGAATTCAAAATAAGTAAAAGGTAGTTTAGGGGAAGGAAGTCATCTAATTCAATCCTCTCATTTTACAAATGAAGAAGTGGAGGCCGAGAGAGGTGAAGTGACTCACTCAAATTGGCACAGTGAAAAGAACCAACCCAAAGCCTTGGACTCAAAATCCAGTATTATGATTTTCTTTTTTAAAAAAGTTTCTGTCTTTTGCTTTTACATAACCTTAATTTCCCAATGTAGCCCTCTTGCCCCCACCAAGAAAGCCACACTTTATAAAATGAAGAAAAAAAGGAAAAGGAAAAACCAAGCTATTCAGCAAAACAAAATAACATTTTAGGCAAGTACAAAAACATATACAGTATTCCACACCCATGGTTCCCTACCTCAGCAAAAAAAAAAGAGTTTTTCCCTGTTCTTTAGGATCATGCTTGGTCATGAGGTAAAGTGCTTGTTCAGTGGAATGTAGACTCCCCGAAGGCTGGAGCTTTTCATATTTGCCATTTTTTTGTTCTCATATCCACAATGCCTGCACATAGGAGTTTAATAAATTGAATTGTTCCCAGACGGTTGTATTCTAACAGTGTGGCTTTGAATATTTGGACAGATTAAAACATCAGACATTCTCCCAAGACCTTGCCTCCAGTTGGAATGACAATGCCCTGATGTCATCTCAAGGCAAAACTTCAACTTGGCTTCCCATCTCCTTGTTATTTTGTGGGTTTGGGCTTTTTCCTATTAGGATTTCATACTGATTTGAGAAATCATAATGAAAGATGAAGACAAGGCTTCTTAGTTTCCCACTCTCAGTCATGCAGGACATAGATCTCTGATCAACTGAGCTCATGTCTACAAAGAACTTTGCAAACAGTGCTATAGAAATGTGTGTTGTTGTTGTTATTTGTGTAGTTTTTGGGGGTCAAGGCAATTGGGGTTAAGTGGCTTGCCTGGGGTCATACAGCTAGTGAGTATCCACTTAGCTGCCCCTTATTTTTTAATTGTTATTGTCATTGTTATTAAAGATGTGATTTCATTGTGATAGGGAACTCCCAGTGAGATAACTACCCCTGACAAGGTAGATCACAAATTTTCTGCCGCATGTAGTCTTTTAGAGCTACTTGGGAGCGCTGAGACTTGCCCAGGGTCACATAGCCAAAGTGTATTATGGGCAGATGTTGAAGGCGGGGCTTCCTGGAGTGAAGTCAGGCTCTTTACCCGCATCTCATTTCCAGTTTTCATTAGTATTAGTCATCATCATCAATGACTCAATCAGTAAGCATTTCTTCAGTTACTACCATGCGCCGGAGGCCAGGGGTATAAACACAAAAAAGAGGATTGTTGGCCTCAAGGAGCCTATATTCTATCAGGAAAGACAACATGGACATAAACAAATAGATGTAATCTGGGGTAAGGACTGGCCCTAGGATTTCATTTCTCCAGGGAGCTCTTGGCTGAGGAAATTCTATCAATGCAAGGCAGCACTTTCTCCTAATCCGAGAGGGTTTCAGTTGGTGATATCGCCAGTTTCTGTGGATTCAGTGATCATCTCTGGGCAGACCATTCTCAGATCTATCTGTATAGTCCTACCTTCACTCTTGACCTCCATTCTTGCTTCTCCAATTATCTATTGGGCATCTCAAACTCAACCTGTCCAAAACTGAACTCATCATCTTTTGTCCCGAGGTGTCCCCTCTTCCTAACATCCCTATTGCTGTTGAGGGTTCCACCCTTCTCCCAGTCACCCAACCTGGTCATCATCCTCTACCCATGCACTCTCTTGCACGCTACCCCCACCCCCCACCATGTCCAATCAGTTTCCAAGTCTTGATGATTGTCCATTTTCGTAACATCTCTCATATTCCATCCTTGCCCACACATGTATACTTCCATCCAGTCATCTCCACCATCCTGGGACAGGACCACATTACCTCATACAATAGATTGCTGGTTAGTCTCCCCGCCTCAAATATTTCCCCATTCCAGTCCATCAATGTTGTATTTATGCAATGATTTAAGATTGCAAAGCATTTTATAAACATTATCTAATTATATAATTGTGTAAACATTACATAATTATATAAACATTATCTAATTATATAATATCTAATTATAAGCATTATCTAATTGTGTCCTCACAACATAGAGAGGTACTGTTATTATCCCTATTTTACAGAAGAGAAAACTCAGGCAAACAGAGGCTAAGTGACTTGCTTAGGTTCACAGAGTTAAAAAGTATCTGAGGCCAAATTTAAACTCAAGTCTTCCTGAATCCAGGTCTAGTACTCTATCTGCTGTGCCTTTGACTAGCAACTGGTTTCTGTAGAACTTTGTTCTGAGAAAAGGCCCCCATTACTTAGTGGTGCATCTAGACCCCCACACCTACACTGATTTCTAAGTCTGCTATCTCTTCTTGGGACAAAGATTTTTAAATTGATGTTTTGAAAGAAAGACAGAATTGCAGCAGGGAATTCTGATTTCACGAGTAAGGATGGTGGCAGAAGGAGACCTCAGGGAGATACCAAGAATCTACTCTTAGGGAGTCTAGCACCAGAGAAGCGATCAGGGCAGGGCCAGGGAAGAGCTCACTGGGAGCATGAGAAGGCTTCAGGATCCCACCTTTGGCCTATGCTATGCTGGTAGCCCCTTTATAGCAGAACTGGTGGGGTTTTCAGTAAGTCACTTAGAGTCACTTGCTCAGGGAGGGGTGGTCCATCTGTCTGACCTTCCTAATCTGCAAGAGAAAGCAGAGATCCAGAAGACAGCAAGGGTGGGGTAGAGAAAGGGGAGGCACCATTGTTAGTAAGCCTTGAGTCAAGGTGATGTGAGAATGATGATGGGGAGGTGGGAGAGGACCTCAGGACTGCCTGGAGGAAGCACGACTAAACTTTGTTTCAGTAGGACAAAGCTCTAGTTGCTACGCTCTAGTGATGGCTCTGATGAATGACAGTTCACTTATGAGTACAAAGAACACCATTACTTTTTGAAATCATGAATATAAAAGATGTCCCCATATTTGGGTGGTTGAGGGAGGAGGTTAGGAAGAACATGGTTATATGATTTAGCTCCTTTCTACTTGAGAGTCTGGAAGAAAAATCAATCAAGTAAGATCCCCATCGTTTTCTGAAATCTTCGGGACTAGAGAGATGCCCGGATGAGTTGAAGACAGCCAATTTTTCAAATGTCCCCTCTAGGCATGAGAATTCCATATTGCTCCAAGAGCTGAGGGATTTACTGTTCCAAGTTGCACAACAATGGTGTTTTTAATAGCGGTCAAAAAAACAAACAAACAAAAAAACCAACTGAAAGTCACGTCCTCCGCTTCCTTCCCAGAACATAGCTTGTTTATCATCCAGTGGGTCAGATCTTAATTTTCTCCCCTAAGGCAAAAACAACCTGGAAACCTGGAGTTATTTCCAACCAGTAAATGAAAAGCAAAACAAAGTAAATGTAGAAATATTTGTGGTCCAATGACTCATCCTCAACCCATCTCCCCATCCCCTTATTATGGCCACAGTCAAGTTCTTGTGTCTATGGTGGCTGACCACAAGATGTCACTATGGCATCTCTAACTCTCCCAATCACCTAGAGGAGGGGGCTGGGGTAGGAGCAGAACAATCTGGCCGTTCTATGCAAAGCCAAATGGTATTTTTTCTGGCCAGCAGCCAGACTAATATAAATTTTATTTTTTAAAAAACCCTATTTGAATTGAAAAGGCTTTCAAGAAACATCTGCACAGTGAAACCGTTAAGCCCAAAGAAGTCCAACATCATATTTATACTGTCTAAATTGGAAGTAAGAAGGCTTTTAGGCCAATGTGCAAAATCTCCAAAGCTAGAGAGAACAACTCTTTGGAACTCCAGAGCCATTCGTAGAATAAGGACTTCTGATGCTGCGGCTGTAACGACTAAAAACATGTTATTCAATCATGATACAGTGAAACCTCAATTAGACCAAACCAACCGAAATGGGAAATCTGCTGAATTATGTCCCCTCTCCCCGGCCCCTTCTCCTTTCCTTTGCTGGACTTGGGATCAAGAAAACCTAGGTGTGAATCCTGCCTTTGGCACTTACTGGCTCTGTGACCAGGCAAGTCACCCAATCTCCCTGGGCCTCAGTTTCCTTGTGTGTCAAAAGGGGATAATAATGTCACCCACCACATAGGTGGTTATGAGTCTCAAAAGAGATGAATGTGAAGTACTTTGTAGCTCAGTATAAATATGAGGATGCTGCTGCTAATGATGACGACTTTCCCTCTGTCTTTCTTTTCCTCCTTCCTTTCCTTCCTCTTTTGCTCTCTCCCTCCCTTCCTTCCTCCCTCCCTCTCTCCCTCCCTTCCCTCTTTCCTTCCTTCCTTCTTCTTTCCTTCCTTCCTTCCTTCCTTCCTTCCTTCCTTCCTTCCTTCCTTCCTTCCTTCCTTCCATCCTCACCAAACTTTTGCATGCAAGAAACAAAGCACAAGAAAATTAATTCACATTAGGGGGTCAAAAAAGTAGCTTGCACTTTGGGGTCTGTGCCCTTTCAGCCCCTATCTCCTATTCCTTTCACATCCATATCTACAGCCTGTGTGAGGAGAAACAGTGTTCCAAATAATGCACCCTAAGGCCCTCCAAATTGTTTGTCAAACAAAGATTCCATAGTGTCCACTCTGCTTATTAAGGAAAGGAAACAGACTGACCAGGGGGCAGGAGGACTCATATTCTGATGTTAAGAATAGCGTTCTTATTATCACATTACACTTCCTCTCTGTGCCTCAGTTTCTTCAATTATAAAATGAGGGCATTGGTATACATGGTTCTCTGAGGTCCCTTTCAGCTTTCCACAATTCTGGTTCTAAGATGGTCTTAGAAGGCCTCACTCTCCTCCTGGACTGATTGGAGAGAAGAACCCTGCAGTGATCCCAGAGATATCAACTTTGGCAGAAGTGTACAAATAAACCACTAGAGGGAGGCCAGGCAGCTACATTTGCTGAACAAAAATATGAAAAGATGGAAGCCGTCTCTTTTAAAAATAATCAAATCCCTATAGAGTTATTAGTGATATGAACTGTCTTTAGTCCTGTGAAGCATCAGGTGGTTATAATGCGACCACCACTGAAAAGGGGTGGGAGGAGACAAAGAGGGAGAAAGGCAGCCACAGAGAGACAGGCAGAAACAGGAGGCAGAGAGATAGAGACAGAGGCAGAAGCAGAGAGACAGAGATAGGAGGGAGAGAGAGAGAGAGAGAGAGAGAGAGAGAGAGAGAGAGAGAGAGAGAGAGTCAGACACGGAGAAACAGACAAACAGAGGCAGCAGAGACAGAGAACCTGGAGGCTGGAAGAGATCTTGGTCAGTGTTTATCCAGAGTAACTCACTCCAGAATTTCTAGAATGCTCTCTCCAGGCAGTCACTAGCCTCTGCTTGGTGATAGCTCATGGGGGCCAGAGGGGCCCAGTAGAAAGAACACTGACTTTGCCATCCAGGAACCTGAGTTCGAATCTCACTTCTGACACTTGCTACCTGGGTGATCTGGGACAAGTTACTTCGTCTCAGTTTTCTCATCTGTAAAATGAGGGACTTGGGTG